TAGCTTTTGATTAAAAATTTTAAACAAAAATATGTATAACAAATATTGATATATTTAAAAAATCTTTGTATGTATTTTAATGTTATTTTAGAGTCACAGTAAGTTTATACTAGTGTGTAGTAATAATGAGTAGTTGGGGATAGAATTTGATTATTGTGTGTTTATTTCCTAGATTAGCTTTGGGAAGTCCTGGGGGGGGAGGGGGGAAAGGGGTAGGTTTGTATTATAGATATATATGTACATATATGTATGATTTTTTAAGGAGGTGTCCGGTGGAGCCCCAACTGCACAAGACGGGATGGTTGAGTGAGGAAGGGAAGTAGGAAAGAGGGAGGAAGGAGGAGTGGTGGTAGTTTGGGAGGAGGAAGGTGTGGTAAGTGGAAGAGGGCGGTGCAGGGGGGGGGACACCGGACGCGTCCGTGAATGTATTGATTAGTGTTATTCTTTTTGGTTGATATTGTGATAAAAGATCTATGTTTTTGTTTTTAATTGAAAAATTAATTTAAAAAAATTATTTAGAAAAAAAAAGAAGAGAAAGATCCATAGAAACTTTGGAAAGAAAAAGACCCCTCAACCTTGGCCTTTTTTGCCTAAGGGGGTGGACCACTGAGGATGTCTTATTAATGATAGACGCAGAGCCCCCTAGTGGTGGGTGAGGGAGGTGCACCATAAGGTGCAGGGAAGGGAAGGAGCCCCCTGTGGGATGTGGGGGGGGGGGAAGGAGAGTTAATGGGGGGAAATTAAGGGTGCCCTTTACACTTGACTACACTTTGACTAATGGGGATTTCACTGAAGAAACCCAAATGCCCTTGTTGCCTCACAGTGGGCAATGAAAAGGACACCCCCAAGTACTTTTCCTGCCTGATCCACCCAGACACCCGCCAGGCAGAGGCTGCGTTTCCTGGTCCATCGAATGGCGGCCTGGCAAGGGGAACCAATCAGGGCTTCCCGCGTCCTGGAGAGGGGCTGGAAGGGGAGGGGGAGGATTCCCTCCTGGGCAGTCAGACTGCAGACCAGGAACCCAAAGGGGCCGAATGTGCACAAGAAATGCAACCATAAACGAGGAAAGTCCAACCTGGATCCAGAAACTCACCTGTCCTCAGCAGCGTCTCCTTCCCGTAGGACAGGTACTTCTCCAGCCACTCAATGCATTCCTTCTCCAGGTAGGCCTTACTGTACTGATTTTGTGCTGGATCAGCATCCCATTTCCTCTGGGTGATCTGGGCCTGGGGTTGGGGAGCCACCCAGGTGAGGGTCTCCTTGTCAAAGGTGATGAAGGTCCTCCCATCGTAGCCATGCTGCATAAACCCTCCTTTGTTCCCATCAGCCTGGAGCTCACAGCCACACATCGTCTGCAATGTGTGAAAGCCTGAAATAGGAACAAGATGATGGTTTGGGGAATCCTCAAGATAGACACAGACCCCCCTTCCCTGCAGGCACTTTGACACAGACACTGACACCCCCATTTCCTCCCTAGCAGTCAAGGGAAAGAAAGCCCCCATCACTACCTGCCCTTCTCCCCTCCCTCGACCTGCCTCCCTCCATTTCCCCCCCCCCCGGATGGAGCCCCTGAACCTCCCCAGGAAAAGGGAAGCTGGAAAAGCCAGCCGAGGATCCCGAGGGACTGTGAGGCACTGAAAATCTGGCTGCAGTTTTCAACTTCTGAGAACCAGCTCTGACTTATTTCAGAAGCATCAAAAGCTAAGACAGAAACCATCTTATTTCAGTTGAAGATAAAATCTGTTTGTGTTCATTGCAAGTTTGGCACAGAATTTAATATTTTTGCTGAAAAAAAGAACAAGGATCACACTGAAAAGACAAGTTTTTATTCTTAGTGTAAGAAGGCTGTTAATGCATCTCTAGAGGTCGACGCGGGAAACAATTCTGCCCCATCTCTGAGCCTGGATGTTCAGGGGTTCCCCGAGGCCTGAAAAATAGTTCAAGGGTTCCTCCAGGGTCAAAAGGTTAAGAAAGGCTGCTTTAGGGAGGCTAAAATATATTTATATTTGTAACTGCTGTGAAGAATATCAGAAGCCACTTATTTATGTCTTTTTTCTTTATTTTCTTCAACTTGTTTTCTTTGCTTATATAGTTTTTGATTTTTCTTGGATTTCTTTCTTTTAATAATAATAATAATAATAGTAAAGTTGGAAGGGACCTTGAAGGTCATCTAGTCCAACCCCCTGCTCAGGCAGGAAACCCTATACCATTTCGGACAAATGGCTGTCCAGTCTCTTCTTAAAAACTTCCAGTGTTGGAGCATTCACCGCTACTGGAGGCAGGTTGTTCCACTGGTTAATTGTTCTCACTGTCAGGAAGTTTCTCCTTAGTTCTAGATTGCTTCTCTCCTTGATTAGTTTCCATCCGTTGCTTCTTGTCCTGCCTCCAGGCGCTTTGGAAAATAGCTTGACTCCCTCTTCTTTATGGCAACCCCTGAGATATTGGAACACTGCTATCATGTCCCCTCTCGT